CCATTTTCCAGCATGGGATGACGAGGAAGGTGAGTTGTGCCAGCGGCGTGATACGAGCCCTGCTCGCGCCTTGCGGACCCATGTTCGATCCCTGACTCCTCATCAACTTAGGAACGTGGTGTAATCAACAATGACCTCGACGGGGAACAGAGACGACAGCTTGAAGCTGTTCATAAGGCGGCTCTAAAGCGCGCCCATCCACGACCGGTCACTGACCCTCGTGTGGAATATGGCTTCCGCCCAGCGGATCCTGCTGTGGAAGCGAAGGGATGCGGTAACTAGATCGTTTCGCGTCCACATTATCGGGGCCCCGGCCAGAACGGATGATGAACTTGCACCACGGAAAGCTCTTCGAGCTTTTTTCTTGGTCCCAAAAGAAATTCCGATAGACGTTTATCGCACTCGTCTAAGTGCTCAACGAGGTGGCTCTAGTGTACCCGCAATGCGGACAATACCTGTAGTACTCGCCCCTGGCGAAAGCACTACCGATGAGGAAGCGCTCTTTGAGCGATGGATGCAACGGCACCGAAAAATTTCCTCACCGCATAACCTGCAGTTGAGCCACAAGGAAGTGAACGTGCGTGTGGAGCGACACCTCCGCTTTTAAAACTCAAGGCACGCCGTCGACTTCCTATGATTTGCCGCCCTGCGACGTATGGGTTGACACCTAATGCTCCCGCCAGCTCTGTGTCTTCGACCGCAAGAGCTCAGGGCCATTGCTTGAGCTCAGCTCATGGCCCGTCTACTTCCCTGGCTATTGCCGGGAGGCGCGGGGCGTCTGATGACGCGGGACGTCCTGAACTTTATGATCAAAAGCATCCACGGCGTCTGGGTAATCTTGCCCGAGTGGCGTCTCAAACTCCCACGGGTTTTCGGAGTCGAGATATTCCTGCCACTTCAACAGATATTGGGTCTGACCCTGCTGACGACGTCGTCTCACTAGACGGTCCACGTGATAGTGGACATCACCGTTCTCATCAAGAAGAGTCGGTGGCGGGCGGTGACGCCCGGGTCGACCCCCGTCCGGTGACTAGCGATGCTCGTCGAGCCCATAAGGATGAGATCCTTCGTGATCGGAGCTCCGCTGAGCGTCATGATGAAGTAGCATATCGCTTCGCGGACGCTCTTGATGATTTGGAGCGCGTCGTGCACCAACTGCCTCGCCTTGAGGGCTTCCGCGCTCTGTCGGAGCGAATCTTAGCCGTGGAGCAGGTGAATGCGTCGCTGCAGGCAGCGGTGGGGCACTTGGCTTTGTTGGAGATGGAAGTTGCTGCACTCCGTGCTCAGAACCAGTTGCTGGTTCAGTTTCTGGGTGGCCGAGGGCCCGTGGGATCCGCTCTGTCGTCAACTCTTCCGCGTTCACATGCGCCGGATCCCGATGCGGCTTGAGCAAACCCACGTAAAACACCGGGTGAGTGCGTATCCGTTTGGGGAGGTTTAGCGTATACGCTAGGTCCCGCTTGTACGGTCCGATATACTGTGGACGAAGCTTCGTCCTGAAGATAGTAGAGGCTGCATGTATAGGCAGATATCTAGAGTTTAATAGAACCAGGTCCCCGACCTTAAAGCTTTCCCTTTTGCCTCTCCCTTTTTCATCTGCATATTGTTTCTGCAGGTCTTGGCTTCCAGCCATCGCGTCGCGAACGGGTCGTAGGACACTCAGTCTGGTAGATATAAAGTCATCGACCTGTTTGCGGATGGTGGTGGGGGGGGCTGAAATCAGCTAGCCGTTCGGCAACTCTTCCCTTACCAAGCCCTGCGCCATGTTATGGCGGCGTCAGCGGGACGCGAGGGTGAATCAGTCCGTTCACGTAGATCGGTGTGTAGCCGGTAGACGCATGCACTGCATGTTCAGTGCAAACTTTACGAGCGGCAACATAGCGCTCCAGCGCCTATGCGTCTCAGCGCAAACGCTGCGAAGAACGTCTTCGATGACGCGTATCACCCTTTCGGTTTGACTATCGGTCTGCGGATGATCCGCTGTCGACATATCCAACTTGGTGCC